GCCCGCGCGCGCTCGGCCTCCGTCTGCTGCGCGTCCACCGCCCGCGACAGGGCGGCCACGGCGCTGCTCAGGGCCTCCAGGGAGGAGCCGTCCCGCTGCCGCCGCTCGTCCAGGCTCACCTGCGTCTCCTCCAGGGCCCGCGTGGTGTCCCTCTGGCCCTCCCGGATGACGTCCAGGTCAAAAGAGAGCTTCTGGCAGTTGCAGTCCTTGACATACTTAATGAGGTCGGCGTGGCCGCCCTGCAGGTGCTGGAGGGTGAGGTTGAGCTCCAGGAGCTGCCGCTCCATCTCCTCCTTGTTCTCCTCCATGATCAGCGACTTCTCCATCAGGATCACGCGCAGCTCGCGCAGCGCGGTGTGGTTCACCTGCAGCTCCTCCGCCTGCCGCTCCAGCTTGCTGATCTGATCGAAGCTGTCGTCGGATTCCGCATACAGCTCCTTGATCTCATTCTCGTGCTGGGCCAGGGTCGCCCGCATGTCCGCGAGGGTGCTCTGTAACTCCTGTTCCCTGCGGCCAGCGGCCACGTGCAGCGCCGAGAGGTTCCTCTGCAGCTGGCCCAGCCTGGCCTGCAGGCTCTCGGGCTCCGGCCTTGCCCCTGCCCCTGCCGCTGCCACGACCAGGCTGACATTGGCCCCCAGGGGCTCCTGGGCCTTAAGGAGCCTCTTCAACTCGGCGTCCACATGGGCCTGGACCGCAGAAAGGGAGTGGTGCAGGGAGAGGTGCTGTGAATGCAGGCGGCCCTCCACGTCCTGCCGCAGCTGGCCCACTCTCTGGGCGTTCTCCTGGACCTTGGTCTCAAATTTAGCACCAAGCTCTTGGAAGTCAGCCTTGGCCACAGTGCTCTCCTGGACCCTCTTGATGGCCTGGCGGTTGGCTTCCACATCAAGAGATAGGTTTCTTATGGCCTGGGAGAGGCTGTGCAGGCTGTGGTTGAAGGTCCTCCAGATGGGGCTGAAATGCACTTGCAGGAAGGCGTCTATGTGAGGCGGCAGTACCTGCTCCAAGGATCTGCCAGGAAACTCTGCAACAGATGCACGTTTTTACACAAGCTTTGCAGGAGCAGACACCTTCCCTAGGCGGAACTAGAAGGGGTCCTCTGAGGTTTGGGGCCCCTTCCTGCCTCCCCTCCCACTCATCCCCGTGGATGTGACCAGGCTCTTCCTCAGCCCCTAGAGTCTGCCACTCACCATGCTCCGTTTGATTGGCCTCAGTTGTTGCTGCTGTGAGGTTGCTTTCCAGAGCCTTCCACAGGCCTGGGAGGCTGTCTGCCACCTGGTGAATGTCATTCTGGAGCTCTCCTAGCACGTGTTCCTGCTCCACCACGATGTTGCTGATCTCTGCTGCTGGGGGGCCTGAGTACACATGAGAGATGAGTGTTGAGGGCTACCTCCCTAGGCCTGGGCAGATCATGAGGTACAGAGAAGGAGATTTCGGGGTTGAGAGCAGGGAGGTGTGTGCTGATGTCCTCTGAGCAGGAACTTAGAAGCCTTTAGCCGCAGAAGAGCAAATGCATGGCCAGTGAGCCCTCACCCTGCCGCCGACACCCACAGCAAACATAAGTGATAAATCATGGCACACTTTCTACCTCAGCCACAGGAACACAGCCTCTCAGCATTCTGGGCAGCCCTTGTCAATCGGTAGGAGTTCACCACATGAGGAAACTCATTCACCATCCCAACCTTGGCCCAGCCTGGAAAGCCTCCACAAACGGTGTCTCTTGGTGGTTCTCCTGTGCTGACTCAAGAGCAGGGACAGCATGACTTCCTGGCCCTGGTTAGGGGAGGGGTGGGAAGAGTTCCTCCAGGCCATGGGAGCTTGTGCAGTTCAGAGGGCAAAGAAGGTGCCAGATGAAGCTGTCCTTCCCCGAAAGTGGAGTCAAGGAAAAGGGTGCATGTGCATAGCCAGCAGGCAGGGAACTGAGGGCCTGTGAACTGGCCTCCGTGGTGGGAGGAAGGGTGATGCAGGGCCACAGGGGGGCCCCTGCTGATTCGAGGGGCAGTTTCCTGAGACGGCACTGCCCTGTCAGAGGAGAAAGGGCCTGGGCACGTGGGTTCTTTCTGCCGCCTGCTCCTCCTGCGCCTTCCAGGAAAGCAACATACCAGGTTCAAAGCCGTCTGGCCTGTCCCAAGGCTCCTGGAGGCCATCACCTGGATCTGCAGGCTCAGAGATCACCGTGGGATCTGCAGAGAGGAGGCAACAGGTGTCGACTCCAGAGGTCAAGGGAGCTACATGACCTGTGGGGTCAGAGGTTGAAGTGGGAGGGGAACACAGGGAGCCCTACCGTGGTGCTGACAGTCGGGGCCCGAGAAGCCTGGGCAGCACCTCCAGGCCACAGAGGCCAGCACCTTCTGCTTGACCTGGTACACAGGCTTGTGGGCCATGCGGTACCTGGGGAAAGAGAGCCAGCTCAGCGACTCCAGGGTGAGCCAGCACAGGGCCTCAAAGCCAGCTCAGGGCCCAACCTACCCTGCCCCGCCGCCACTCACATGACTTTGACTTTCTGGCAGTCCGGAGACCCCTGTGGACATGGCTGCTGTGAGTTGATGAGGAATTTCTCAGTTTTGCAAGCAGCTATGAAGGTGACCAGCCTGGACTTCTGGTAGGGGCACCAGTTACTGGAAAAAATGAACCAGAGGAGAGGGCTGCTGAGCCACGCCCAGGCCCCCACAACCCTTCCTAGAGGTCAACAGTGGGTGCCAGTGCAGAACACCCCTCCCCCTGCCTCCCTGCCCCACCCAGTGCTGGGGATTCTGGAATCCATTAGCCTGAGAAGGGAGTGCTCTGCATTATTCATCCCTAGCTCCACAGCAAATCTCCACAGACTCTGCCTGCAAGGGCCCCTGCTCCACTGCCTTTCAGGACACCCGCCCCCAGAGGGCCAACACAGAGAGACTCAGTAGCCCCCCTAAAATCACGCAGCAAAATCACCCACAGAGCCAGGAAGGGCTCTCGCTGTTTCTCCTGGTACCAGGGAGGCTGCATGGTGCTGCTGGGGCTAGAGAGTCCTGGGTTCGAATCCTTCACATTTTCTGACTGTGTGACCTTGAGTGAGACACTTAGGGAGTTTCCACTTCCCCATTTATCCCACGGAGACCCTCCCCCCTGTGGGCAGATGAGTACTGAGTGCCTGGCTCCCGGGAAGTGCTCAGTGAACACTGCTGCCCTGCCCTGTGACCACTCACATCTCTCTTCCCCAGAGAGCCGGCCGCAGGGAGGGCACCTGCTCCCTGGCCGTGCCCCGTGATGGCCGTTACGGAAATGGATTTTCAGACAGTTGGGGGAGGCAGATGGGCTGAGCAGTCCCTTCTCTGGGAAGGGCCACCCACACCGAGGTCCTGCAGGATGGTTTGGAGGTCGCGCTCAGCATCCTGACCACCGGGGAGGCGGTCCCTCCATCCGTGTCCTTCACCAGTGTGTGTTGTGGGTCCCGGGAGCGGGGGATGCTCACCGCCGACAGAGCCCCAGTTCACTGATCGGTGGCAGGCCAGATGGGCGCAGTAGAAGGGGTCAGAGGGCCCTTCCTCTGGCAGTCAGTTCCCACAGCAGAACTCTCCAGAGCTGCAAGTGGCAATGACCTCCATGGCTCAGTCAGCTCTGCACGTCTTGGGTGCTCTGTGCCGGGCTCAAGCCCAGCAGCACTCAGTGTAGACACGGAGGGGCAGACCTTCCCTTCAGGGCCCCCAGGGAGAGTAGGCAATCTCAGCTTGTGCGGTAGCTTAGGGCCCAGGGAGACTTGCAGGAGGAGGTGATCATTTGGCACCAGGAGCTATGACAGAGGTGTGTGGCCCACTGAGGTGCAGAGAGTGGAGGTGGGGAAGGGGCTGCAGAGATAAGAAGACTTGAGTGCCAACTGAGGAGCTGGGCTGTGTCCTGACGGTGTGGGAAGTCATGGAGGGGTTAAGCAGGGAAGTGACGTGAAAGAGCTACCCTAGTTCCTGGGTGCAGAAAGGGTGGGAGGGGCAAGAGGCAGGTGTCAGGCGTCCAGGAGTGGGGAGGCTGGCGGCTTGCCCTGGACAATGACAGTGGATGTGGAGAGAAGTAGCCACATGTGTGAGTAGTGTATCAGGAAGCGGTGTCCAGGGACCTTGGAGATGGAGATGGAGTTGGGGCTGGGATCTTATCCTCTGGAGCTGATCTCTGTCCTGAGCCATCAGATACCATCACACAGGGATACTGCTGGGGAGGGCAGAGGCAAGGACTGCGGCAGATTGAGTGGCCAGATCTGTTTTGAGTGCTGAGCCCCCCGGTCTGCTTTCCCTCTTGGCTCCTGGAATCCTAGCGGCCAGTCTGTGCCCTCATGGCAGCAGCCTGAAAAACCTTGTCAGGAAAATGACCCCACTTAAGAGGAAAGACCTAAGACACTGACTGCAGGGGTTCCCCCAGTGAAATAGCCCAGCAGAGCATCCTATGACAAAACAGATCGGAGAGCCCTATCCATACACCCAGCTTCCAGTCAGCTTCTCAATCTCTACTCTTAAGTGGGCAGACATCCAAGGACGCCCCCTGAGGACAATCTCCATTACAAAAGAGGGAGATCAAAACAAGCAGATGGAAGAACATCAACTTGGAGAAAACCAAGACTGTGCAGGGAGAAGAGAACTTCTCCCAAATTTGCATTAATATCCCCAGATTGATAACAGAAGTTACTGCATCCAAGAAGCAAGAACAGGAAGCTATAAAAAAAATGACAGAAGAACATTCAGAGAACAACATCAAAAAAGAACTCTTGGAAATTAAAATATAACAGTAGAAATGCAAAAGAAATTTAATAGAAATGTTAGAGGGTAAAATTAAAGAAATGTTTCTAAAAGAAGAGCAAACAGAGAAGTGGAAACTAGGAGAGAAAAAGGTCAGAAAAATAGAGGACCAGTGTTGGAAATCCAACATCCAAACAATAGGAGTTCCAAAAAGAGAACAGAGGGAGGAAGTCATGGATGAAAAAAATCAAACAAATATTCCAGAAGTGAAGGACTTGAATTTTCAAAGTCAAAGGGCCACCAGTTACCCACAAGATGATAAAAAGAAACTCATCTCAAAGTACATCATCATGAAATTTTAGAACTCTAGGAATGAAGATGATCCCACACTTTCCAGAGAGAAAAACCAAGCCGCACACCCAAATCAGTAATTAGAATGGCCTTGAACCTCTCAATAGCAGTATCGGAAACCTACAACACAGTAGGAAATGGCCTTCAAGATATTGAAGGAAAATTATTTCCAATTGAGAATCCTATACCCAGCCTAACTACCAATCCATGTAAGGAGAGCAGAATGAAGACATTTTCAACAAGCCAGGCTTCAAAACGTTTCCTCCCCGGGACCGCTCATCAGGGAGCTACTGGAGCAGTAGTTGGCAATCTTGCCATCAAATCTTCACGTCAACACCATCCTGCGGCACTTTAAAAATAGGAGCCTCTGGGCCCCATCCCAGACCAGTTAAAGGAAAGTCTCTGGGGCAGGGCCTGGGCATCAGCATTTTAAAGCTCTCTGGGTCATTCTAAGGCATAGCCCAGGACTGAGTACCACTGTGCCAGCAATGCTCCACCAACACAAGAGGGAAAACCAAGAAAGAGGAAAGCACGGCATCAGGAAACAGGAATTCCAGCTGGGAGAGGAGGTGAAGGGAGTCCCCAGGAAGATGGTGAAGAGAGACCCCAGGACAATGATGGGCAGTGGGTGAGGGGCCACAGTCCAGACTGGAGGACTGCTGGAAGCTCAGAGAGGTATCTCCAAGAAGATACAGGTGGTCAAACACCTGACACAAGTGAGAGTTGAGAGCAGATGTGGGCAACTGGCCAAGAGTTTGGAACCGAGTGGTGACAAAGACACAGAAAACTAAGAAAAAGAAAAAAAAGAAGAAGATAATTGTTTACTCCAGGGAAAACCAAAAGTGTGCAGGGAGAAGAAAAGAATTTATAGTTTTTTTCAAGTCTCAACTCTAAGTAGCAAATGTAGTCACATGAATGTACTCAAAATGACAGTATGGGAGAATGAAGGTGTGTGTGTGCACCTGCACATGCATGCTCGTGCACACATAGGCATGCGTGTTGGGGTTGGGGTATGGAGTAGGAATGAGAGCTGAGTCATAGACAATGCTACTTCCCAAGAAGTAGCAATAGAAGCATGTTCTTTAGAGATACAGAGGTAAATACCAAAAGCATCACCTAATGAGTTGAAAGTCATTCCCTTTGGGGACTAGAGGGGGCTGGGGCTACTGATTGTCCCAATAAGCCTTATGGAACTGGTTGACTCTAACCCAGGGAGTCAGCAAAGTTTTTCTGTAAAGGGACAGATACATAGAAAATACTTTACCCAAGACCGACTACATAATTTGTGGGGTCCAGTGCAGATGAAAATATAGGGCAACGGTAGAGATTAAACCAAGTGCAGGGCCCCTCTGAGTGCCAGGCCTTGTGTGACTGCTCAGGTCACATGCCCATGATGCTGGCCTGGATTTTAGGTTTTCCAGGACATATGGACTCTGTCGCATTTACTCAACTCTGCCATTGTAGCACAAAAGCAGACACTGACAATATGTAAATAAATGAGCAAGGCTGTGTTCCAATAAAATTTTATTTACAAAAACAGGTGGGGGGCCAGATTTGGCCCACCAGCCATAGTTTCCTGAGCTCTGCCTATGGGAGTGTATAAGTAATAAAAATGAAACTTAAAAATAAAATAATTTCCATCTGGAAGAGAAAATGCAGGTGAATAGGTAAGAACATTTTGGAAGACAACAATGGGTGAGGAGTTTCTCATCCAACTATCAAGACTGACTCTAAAGCCAAGTAATGAAAACTGTGGGACACTGGCTCAGGATTTGACAATCTGTGGGAGCAGAGACCAGGAAGGACCCAGGAGTCCCGAAGGACTAGTACACGGTAAAAAGGAGGCACGTCAAAATCGGGATGGAAGCAAAGAATGTTTACGTAACAGTGACACAGTGGGCTGTGAAAGTGCTGGGCCCAGAGCTCAGGGGCCCTGGGCGAGACGGCGGCCTGCACAGACTGTTCCAAGGACCAGAAAATGTGCCCAGCTCCAGCCCACCCGCTCCACCGTGGGCCCCATGGAAATTCCTGCAATATGGGCTCAACTCGAGGGAAAAGTATTTCTCTAAACCAGTGGTTCTCAGTAGGGGAGAGGGGACTTCCCCGGCAGACATTTGTGGTTCTCACGCCTCAGAGAGTGGTGTGCTACTGGCACCTAGTGGGTGGACGCCAAGCATGCTGCTAACACCCTACAGAGCACAGGACAGCCCCACACCCCTACAGCAGAGTCAGCCAGTCCTGAATGTCAGCAGTGCAGAGGTGGAGAACACCCGTTCTAAACAAAGCTCCGCTCCTTTTACACCCTCTCATCTGCTGCAGAGGGTCCAGAAGGCCTGCGTGCCGGGTCTGGTCCAGCCTGCCAGAGAGTGACTGGGACTTTCCATCTGGAGCTCCTGGAACCGGAAGCGGTGCTGCCCACCCTTCCTGCCCAGGAACTTTCTCTCCTGACCTGCCGGAACCACTGGCTCCGGCAGCCACTGTTCTCCCTGCCCACGCTCCCCTTCCCTTGGCAGCCCCATCCCCTTGGCACAGTACAGGCTGCTGGCCCAGAAGCCCTGGGAACATTCCTGACCTTTGCTTTGGTTTCCTCCAGCTCTTGGCAGCTTCATGCTGGCCCTCTGAGCCCCCAGCCCAGCTCACTGAAGCGCCCCATTGTTCTGACTGCTCCTGATCTCAGGCCTGCTCCTTCTTTGCGCCCTCCCTCGGGAAGCCGTGCTGGGTGCCCTCTTCTCCCAGTGGTCTGCTGAGGGGCAGGTGCCAGCCTAGAAATGAGTGCAGGGCTCCTCCAGCCTGGCTTGGGCCTGCCCTGGGCCTCCCACATGGCCCTGACCTGATGCCCTGCCCCAGGCAGGAAAGAGTCTGCCCACCCCCTTGGAGCTTCTAGGTGGAAGCTGGGAGGCTGGGCTCTCCTCCTCTCCCCTCCCCCTCCCTGGGCTCAGGGTTACCTTGAGCAAGGCCCTTCCCCCAGTCCTGGAAATGTGGAGAAAATTCCCACTCCCAGCCCCTCCCCGGGGGCAGAGGGAGGGGCTGTGGGGAAGGCAGAGAGAGCCTCCAGCACGGAGAGGGCTGTTAGCCTGTTAGCCTCCTGAATTACGGATGCTGCTGCTGATACCCCTTGGGACTCTTAAGTGCCTCTTAACCAGCGAGGAAAACCTACCTCGCACTGCCCTTTCAGTCTTCCTGGGGAAGGAGGACGTGTTCTCAGCATCCTTGCTTTCTGAGGCTCTGAATGCAGCTGTGAATGTGACCACTCCAGCGGAGAATTTTGCAAAGCTTTGTCTTTGAGCCAGAAAGGGGCCTGGGCAGAGGAGCCTGAGGCCCACTCGGTGTCCAGCCCAGAGCCAGGGTTCCCTGAGTGTGACTTGGGCCAGTGGGGCTCTTCCCTGTTCATGCCCAGAGCCCAGTGCCTTGGAGAGCAGGAACAGGTGCAGGAGATGCGGCCATGGCCCAGAGACCACTGGCCTGGTCTCCACCCTGCTCTCACGTGACCTTCAGAGATATGCATGACTCCTCTGGGCCTTCCCAGCTGCAAAAATCACAAATGCTCCTTATGGTTGGGTCAGAGAAGCTGATGCTAGTAGCTGGGGCCAGCTGGGCTGCTGGGAACAGCATCTCCCACACTCCTACCCTTCTTCAGGGAGACAGGACAGAGGACACCTAGGATTTGCAGCCCTGCAGATGTGGGCCCAAGCTCTGATCCATCACTTAGGAGCTGCGTGGCCCTGGGTGGCATCCCCACCCCTCAGAGCCTCACAGCACGTAAAGTGGAGAGAAAAGTGGGACCCTCGCAGCACTGTCACCACAATATGGAGGTGGGGCACCTTGCCTGGGGCTCAGCCCGGTCCCCACAGCAGGCTCAGTCCTGCCGGGCAAGCAAGTCTTGGGTCTGAGGAGCCCACATCCCAAACTGCTGCTCTCCCCACCCACACCCCCACCAGGGAGCCCGGAAAGAGCCTCCTCTCCACTGAGTCCGAATACCCCCATTGCTAGCTCATTGGGCCCTACCCCCACTGGGCCCCCGGAGACCTGAGAAGCACTCGACCACACCCCTCCTCCACCTGGAACCTGGTATTGGGCACCAAGTTGTTCTGTTCCACCTTCTCCTTGCAAAGGGTCTCATCTGGGTCTACGTCCAGGGCCTGCCGTGGCCTGGGGGCCCAGACTCAGGGGTGAGGGGCAAACGCAGGGCAGGCAGCCTGGCAGCCAGGGCGCAGGTCCGCGTCCCTCCCTGAGCTCGGAGTGCCTGTTCCCCCTCCCCCTCCCCTGTTGCAGGGGGAGGCTGGAGCAGCATTTCCGCCTCTCCCTTCCCAGGAGCTCGGGAAGCAATCAGCCTGAGGAAGCCACACAGCGTTTCCTCCTTTTCTCACCAGCCCCTCCGGAGGCCTTGACCACTCGGGCCTGGCCTCTGGGGACCACAGCTTCCGGGCTGTGGGAAGGAGACCCAGCAGGCAGCTGGGACCCCCTGGAGCCCCCTGGGACCAGGGCTTGGGACACCTGCCTAGGCATTCCTGGACCAGGGTGCCCTTGTGTGCACCTCTGCACGCTCTGCACACACTGGGACCACCTGGAGAATGGCTGAGTGACCCCCACAGGGCAGCCCAGGAGCAGTCCACGGGCCCACCCTCCCTGGAGTCAGGGAAGGCAGTTCCTCCCCAAAGCAGAGAGGATGGGGGAAACAGGCCCATCTCCTACCTCCTTCCCTGCCACTTGGGCCCCGCATCCTTCCTTTCATCAAAGGGAGGCAGCGGCCTGGAGACAGGGGCACAGAGCTAATGGCCTTGAAGAAAGAAGGCTGGTCCTCGGTCCTGCAATCAGCGCTGGGCGACTGGATTCCCCCACCAAGAGTCACCGACATATCTCAGCTCTGAGCAGAACTGGGGATGAGGCAGGAATGGGGTCTCTCCAGGTCCATCTTCTCTGGCCGCACCTCCCCACTTGGTCAGCCCCCCTCACTGAACTCCCAGGGCTTCTGGGTCAGCAGCCTGTGCTGTGCCGTGGGGATGGGGCTGCCGAGGGAGGGGGAGCGTGGGCAGGGGGAGCAGTGACTGCTGGCGCCCGCACTTACTCTTGCCCTCCTGTCTCTCCCTAGCCAAATCCGCTTTCGGGAACGTGTCCAACAGACACATTCACCTTGAAGCATGAGAGCTTACGGGAGAACCGTTCCAGGCAGACGCGTTCTCTGAGCCAATGAGATGGTGACTCTCAGACAGAGGGGAGACTCTGGAGGGGTGTGAGATGGTGCTCTCACCCTCCAAATCCAGAGAGATGCCCTCAACCATGTTTGGGGGAGTAGTAGGGGGGCCTGAGGCTGTGTCTGAGTGCTCCAGGGAACAGAGCATGGGCTCTGGAGTCAGACTCAGATCCTGGTTCCAGCTTTCCTTAGCTGTGTGAGCTTGGGCCAGTTGCTTAGCCTCTCTGAGCCTCAGGCTCCTCTGTAAAGGGAGCTGTTGGGAGGATGAACTGAGATAACAGTTGGCAAGGTGTCTGGTCCAGTAACTGGCACCTGCTGCTCTAACTGTGGGGTGCCCTGAGGAGGGACCCGCAGGCCCAGCACCTTATCAACAGGAGGATTCCTGGCCCTGGACAAATAGATCACTGGAAAACAGTGTCTGGTCCAGTCACAAGACAATCCTGCCCATTTCCAGAGGGGCACTGAGGCAGAGCTCGCTGAAGCCACAGCCTCCTTTTTGTTCTGGAGAGAGAGCAGGGCACCCTCTCTGCTCACTGCTCTGCTCTCATGGCCAGGCTGAGGACCCTACCCCAGTCCCCGGGGCATTCAGATCAAAATCCAGTCCCCTGGAGCATCTCTCCTCTATGGCTTAGGCCGGACAGCCTCACTTGGGCTCAGCCATCAGAATTGACTTACTTCGAAGAACAGGAGCCATTGCCAAGCCAGCTGGAGACTTCCGGAACCACAGCCCCTCAGTGCTCCATGCTGCGTGGTTGACGGCAAGAAGTGCTCCGGCCCTGCACAACCCCGAGGCCCACTCCCTGCCATGGGTCAGGCAGGAACTTCCTGTGGTCCTTAGGCTGGGTCCTGGGGTGCCCGGTCCAGCCTGGCTGGGGGTGGTGGCTCCTTGAAGGGGAGCCTGGCACCTGACACTTCCTGCAGCCTCACAGCTGGCCCAGCAGATAGATAATATCAGCCCATTTCACAGATGGGTAACTGAGGTCCAGAGAGCCGCTGCTCTGGCCGAGCCAGGGCTCAGATCCTGCACCACGACCTCCCCCAAGGTCAGGCCCTCCTTACCGTCCGATGGGGTCCCTGCTGGTGTCCTCAGCCTCCACCCTCCAGACCCCAGGCGGCCTGGGGCTGTGAGAATCAGAGAAACTGGTACCAGGGGCCTGGGCATAGGCCCTCGGCAGCCCCCAGCCAAGGGACCCCCCGAGGCAGAGCAGCAGTGTCAGGATCATGCCGGCAGTGGGGCAGACTCAGCCTCTTCAAGTGACTCCAGAAACTGCCAATGCCGGTGACGTTGTCTTCAAGTTAAGTCTCAGAAGGAAAAGAAAGCACAGGGACAACAAAGAGAGGAAGTGGCCTGGGCCGGCCCACCCGGTAAGTCTCGTCCGGCCCCCTCACCCCCCGCCTGGCCCCCCAGAGGCAGCCAACAACACAGCCGGGTTCCTGTGCCCTAAGAGGACTGGGGTCATGGACACTGGGGGTGTGGGCGACACAGGGAGGGGCCCTACCAAACACGTCCCCACGGGAAGAGCACAAGTGTCGAGGTGGGGCTGCAGGAAGCGGACTGGGTGGTCTCGGGGAACCTGCTGCCCATCCATGCTGTGGCCAGGAAGTGGGGGCACTTCATGCCTACTCAGCGCCCTTCCCCACTGGGCTGTGGGAGCCAGGGGGTGAGTGGAGGCTCAGAGGGAGAAAGGAGGGTCACACGGTGTGTAGCCAGAGGCCAGGGCACAGGGAGGCCCTTTGTGCGCCCCTGTCCCAGCTCCTCCACCTGGCCTTGCAGGAGCCCCCGGATGGGGGTGTCCGGGGTGCTGGTGAGTAGCCGGGCAGCCCAGTCCAGTCTGAGAGATTGGCTACTCTTGCCTGATAGGCCTGCATGGCCCTGACCCCTGCCCTACCTGGGACGCAGGTAGCAAAGGCACCCCCTTCTCTGCCCACCCCCACCCCAGATGTACACAAACACAACACCGCAGGCCTGAGAGCACCCAGCCGGGGCCGCCCCTGTGGGTGGGCAGGGCAGCGAGTGAAAGAGGGACAGAGATGGATGAGGATGTGTCCAGCCTCCTGTGGCCCCTCCTGGGAGGGCAGGGGGCAGGAGGGGAGGGTTGAGCCAGAAGGGCCCAGGGGACCTGGACCCTGCTGCCCCACCCTGGGGAAGGTGAGGGCCCGCCTCCGCCCTCCCTCCCTC